TGTATCTCATTTTTTGCTTACTAATTTAATGGGGAAAAGAAAAATCATCAGTCATCTGCATAGATTTTTGGGATAATAGTAATAGAGGTAAATAAATTTGACATTGTTACATTATTTCTAGAATGTTTCAACTGTAATAATAATAATAATAATAATAATAATAATAATAATAATAATAATAATAATAATAATAAACGTATTATATGTAGTGTTTTTAAATATAAAGGCGTGCTTGATGTTGGTTTGTTTCTTATTTTTACCTTTTTCTTCAAAATTTAGCATAAACTACTATGCTCTTTTACCATTAAATTTAAACACTTTGTTGACGTTAGGGTTCGTTTATCATGTTCGAAACCGTGTTAAAATATGTTTACATTCATCCACACCAAATAAGCGAGATTTGTATGTTTCATTGCCTCCAACACGTATAAGAAGATACTTAACAGCGAAAAACAACTTTGGTAGTCAGTGTTTTGAAGTTAAGGACGATGCCTTTAGTTTTCAACCCAAGCCGCTGTATACGTAGTGATCAGAAATAACAAACGCACAATAAAAACTCTCTTCCCGATCTCCAAAACGTGCTAGGAACCGTTTTGCAGCGTAGAGCAGCTTTGTTTGTCACGTATTCGAGGTTAGGGTTGCTCAATGGCATTTGTAGTCGTACATTATATAGTTATAAAGTTAATATATGATATAAGCACGAAATTAACTCATTACCGTAACTCAGAAGTGATTCCAGTTGCCAAAAACACGTTTTTTTCACTTATTGATCTTTTTTTTTAGGTTAGGGATGGTTAAATGTGTTTTTAATCATAGCACATGCCATGACTATGTGAACTAATACTGTCTCTATAAATAAAACTTCTAAACCCGCCTTTTAATAGCTTTTCGGGGCTAAATAATTAAAAAAATTTGATTTTTTGGGTCTTTTCTCCTGCTTCTGGTTGCCATATTGGTCAGCCATTTTGGATTTTTCGGGATCGCCTCTCTGCATTTGAAACTAGAGGTCACAAGCTAAATTTTGACCCATCATACGTTTCCAGACAACTCACCAATTTTTGGCGAGATGGGGGTCTCACGTCCACTAAGAATGCCCCATATATATACATATAAATAACAGTTGACACATCGTTACTTAAATAATTAAAAGAAAACGTTTATCCTTATGAGTTATTTAAGTTGTATTTGATCGATCTTTTAGAGCATACGATTAAATTGAATACAATTTTTGTTACTTTTTATCATATCATAAACTTGCATATCCTGAAGTTTCACTTTTTTTCGGTTGATTGAGCAGCTGTAAGGGTTGGACTAATTGCTAACAATTATTTAACTATCAAAAGATTAAAAACTCGTTTGTAATATATTTATATGAGACGCTACAAGAGCTCATATTGTATATATAGGTGGTATAGTATACTCCAGGATAATCCTGCAGTGCTTTTGGTGTAAATATGTGCCAGTAGACGTTGAGCAGTCCTTCCTATTGAATCCTAACTGATGAGATTTTAGAGAGCTACGCAAACCTTGTTAGTTTAACAATAATTAACAGACATGACATAAATGCAAACTGCGAGTGAATATTTGCCACTTACATGGGGTACACTTATAAAACTACAAATATAAAATACAGTTTAAGTAGAGGTATCCCAATGAATATCATTAGGTACTACGTGATATATCGGTTTACAATAATAATACTAATAATAATAATAATAATAATAATCATAATAATATGTTTTCCTCCAGTTCATAATTTTTCATATTTTTGCTCTCCCGTTCTTGTAATCACCGGCATCATGATGTTCGAAAGTAAATTTTTAGGCCAATTGAAACACGTTTGTCGATTGTAGATAAAAAAAAAATCAGGTTAATATGTTTTAAGAAGTAATCATTCAAATACTATCAGTTGTACTTTTTTTTTTAATTTGAGCTAATTTTACTCAGCTTTTGACTAGAGAGACAAGTGTCTTACCTTCGTTTTTTAGGTTGATATTTACAGAACAAACTATATCGCTTTACAAGACTTATATAACAATAGATAATTAATATACAGCTAAAAGTGTATTAGTTGTTAAGCTATTTTCTTGGAATTTTATATAATTAGGGCTTAGAGCGTTAATAAAAATACACTCATGAACACCGAGTAATCTGTTTGTTTTGGGTGCTCTCAAATCAAAATGTAAAAATAGTTATAATCATTTTGCTTATTAACCAATGGTGAATTCGTAAAATAGCATGAGGAACTTGTACATGAAATTATGTTCAAGAGTTAGAAATAAATGAGTGACGAAACAAAATTGTTATTCTTTAGCTAAAAATATATTTAAAAAATGATATCAGCTAATAAACACAAGGACTAATGAGTATTGAATTTTCAATTTAAAAATATAATCACATTGCATAATAAAAACGTCGTTTAAAACTACAGTAGTGAAAATTAATAGTGATAAATTTTTGACATTCTAAAAAAATGTTACTACTCTTGCCACCCACGCAAATTTTAGATAAAAAAAAATGAATAACATCCGAAAACGAAACAAAAGATTAAACAATTTTTTATAGCGACTTCTAATTAAACACTAAAGCTACAATATTGTGGAAAATAATCATAGACAAATCTTAAATAACTATAACCACTATTTTTTTACTATTATGAGGTGAAAGTTATATTAAATTATCTTTGCACAACATCTAAACTAGTATATTAAAAAATATACTATATATTACGTTTTTAACATAATTCATGCAATTTTAAAAATTACGTCGAGCATGTAAATGACAAGTTTTTCTTATAGCTCGTTATATTCTAAAAAAAGTTACTACCCTTACAGATAAGATACTTCAAATTTGGTTTTCAAGGTTCTTACAATACATACAACAGATTATTGTATACGATGACAAAATGTAATACTTACTTATGTAAAATATTTTGCCATTGACCTTGTCCATGATCGAGTAATGGAAAATGGATGATTTGAGATCGAGTTCGCACACGCAACTCGCTTATCATATCAGCTATGTCAAACACAAACGGTGATTGACCAAAGTTAGCATCTACAACTTCTCCAGGTGTTTGAAGTCCAACGGTGGGATATAAATTTGGCTAGAAATATAACGAACATCATTGAAACCAGTAGCAGTAGTACATCATATTTTTGTTGTTGGAGTTCAATATTAATTTTAAAATCTACGGAAATACAAGTTTGTTAAAACAATTCGTTGAAATTTAAAAATTCGAGACTCTAAATAATATTTCTTATATTCTCTAGTATGAGAGATAAAATTCTGTAGCTTATGATATATACAATTGTGATTTATTTCAAAATAGAGTGAAGACATTTTTTGTGGTTATATTCCTGTTCTCCATATACTTCTAATCATCATTATTTACAGCTTGAAGAGATTTATTTCTTTTAATAGTTTTATTCATTCAATGGGTACAATCTTATCAGATCCGATATAATAAATCTTAAGGAGAGTCCAAGGGTACAATGAATAGTTTGATGGAGTCACAAGGAGAAATAAAACTGCCTTTCAGTTTGGCATGGGCAAAATTCTAATACAGAAATTTCACTTGAAATCTACGAGTAACAAATCAGATCACCCTAGATTCCTCGGTATTATTGTACAGACTGTTAACATCAGACTAATTACTTTTCAGACCAGATATTTGAGAGAGAGAGAGAGAGAGAGAGAGAGAGAGAGAGA